CTTTATCAACCACTAAAATTCCTAACTCTTTATTACATAAACGTAAATCAAATTTGCTAATAAAAAATCGAATCTTTGACGAGTTAAATAAAAATGTTGCAACGTAGGAAAATTCTAGTATTCAATGACAGTTTCAAAATTAAAACATACATATTTAGTTTAGAGAAATTGGATTAACAATAAAAACAAACAGATCTGGCATTTGAAATTCAATTCTTATCTCTCTCTCTCTCTCTCACTCTTCATCTATATCTCCCCCCCCCCCCGTCTATCTATCGATCTTCCTCACTCTCTGTCTGTCTGTCTGTCTTTCTGTTTCTCTCTCTTTTTCTATCCATCTTTTTGTCTCCCTCTCTCTCTCTCTCTCTCTCTCTCTCTCTCTCTCTCTCTCTCTCTCTCTCCCTCTCTCTCTCTCACTCTCTCTCTCTCTCTCTCACTCTCTCACTCTCCATCTATATCTCCAGCCCCCGTCTATCTATCTATCTTCCTCACTCTCTGTCTGTAAGTCTGTCTTTCTGTTTCTCTCTCTTTTTCTATCCATCTTTTTGTCTCTCTCTCTCTCTCTCTCTCTCTCTCTCTCTCTCTCTCTCTCTCTCTCTCTCTCTCTCTCTCTCTCTCCCTCTCTCTCTCTCACTCTCTCTCTCTCTCTCTCACTCTCTCACTCTCCATCTATATCTCCCCCCCCCCGTCTATCTATCTATCTTCCTCACTCTCTGTCTGTAAGTCTGTCTTTCTGTTTCTCTCTCTTTTTCTATCCATCTTTTTGTCTCCCTCTCTCTCTCTCTCTTCTCTCTCTCTCTCTCTCTCTCTCACTCTCTCACTCTCCATCTATATCTCCCCCCCCCGTCTATCTATCTATCTTCCTCACTCTCTATCTGTCTGTCTGTCTTTCTGTTTCTCTCTCTCTTTCTATCCATCTTTTTGTCTCCCTCTCTCTCTCTCTCTCTCTCTCTCTCTCTCTCTCTCTCTCTCTCTCTCTCTCTCTCTCTCTCTCTCTCTCTCTCTCTCTCTCTCTCTCTCTCTCTCTCTCTCTCTCTCTCTCTCTCACTCTCTCTCTCTCTCTCTCTCTCTCTCTCTCTCTCTCTCTGTCTCTGTCTCTGTCTCTCTCTCTATCTACTTATCTATCTATTTATCTCGCCCTTCCTCTCTATACATGTATGAAAACATATCCTCGTTTATACAAGCTTATCTCAATAGATATTAATAATTCAGCTTTAGGATTAATTCGTAAGTAAATATCAAATATCAATTTATAAATATAATCAAAGGTACGATTGTTGCCAAGTAGGATTAAATTGAATCTTGAATCTTGTTATATATATATCTTTATCTTTTATAGTTTTCAATCAATCCAAGATAGAAGGGGAGGGGGGTTGGCTATAGAAAATTATTGCTTAGAATCATTATTGAGAAATAAGTGAATATCAGATACTGAAGGAAAATAAATAAAGAAAGACTATGATATCGAGGGGGGTAAGTTGCCAACTAGGATTAGATATTTCATCACGAATCTTAAAATAGCTTTTTTTCTTTCTTTCTTTCCATTTTCTTTCAACCTTAGAAATCAGTAGAAATACAAGTCAATTGATATTAATAAATCAAAAATAGTATTACAAAATAAGTGAATAAAAAAAGGAAAAAACACACGGTTACGATAACTCAAGAGATGGGTTGCCAAGTAGGACTATACATTCCCACCACCATTTCCAAAAGTAATTTTGTTTTCCTTTTTCCCTTTATTTCCAGCTCTAGACATGGGGGAAACGTGACGGGAGTAGACGTTGTTATCTCCCCCCTCCCACCCTTTTCCCAAAAGAGGGCCGCCCACAGCTTCCATCGCCGCCCACGCTTGACAGCCGGCCGCCCATTAGCCACTGCCAAAAAGAGTCCGAACGTTTGTCTTCTTACATCTAAGGATTCGGACGAGTTAAGCCTTTCAAGGTATTTTGATCTTTGCTGTTGATTATGGAATAATTCTCTCTCTCTCTCTCTCTCTCTCTCTCTCTCTCTCTCTCTCTCTCTCTCTCTCTCTCTCCTCTCTCTCTCTCTCTCCTCTCTCTCCTCTCCCCCCCCTCTCTCTCTCTCTCTCTCCTCTCTCTCTCTCCTCTCTCTCCTCTCTCTCTCCCCCCCCCTCTCTCTCTCTCTCTCTCTCTCTCTCTCTCTCTCTCTCTCTCTCTCCTCCTCTCTCTCTCTCTCTCTCTCTCTCTCTCTCTCTCTCTTTCTCTCTCTCTCTCTCTCTATCTATTTATCTATCTCCCCTTCTCCCCCTTGGGAGGGGGAGGAGGGGAGGGAGAGGGAGGGAGGGAGGGAGACGAGGGAGGGAAGGCGGGAGGAGGGGGGAGGAGGAGATGAAGGAAAGGAGGGGGTGAAGGGAGAAAGGGAGGGGAGGGAGTGGGAGGGAGGGAGGGAGGGAGGAGAGAGGAAGGGAATTAAGGAAGGGAATGGAGGAAGGGAGGGGGGGCAGGGGGAGGGAGGGTAAGTAAGGAGGGTAGTTACTCCCACCTTGCTTCCCCCCCCCCTCTTGCAGGTCGATCAGAGTCTATTTTTTTCTCTTTGTTTTCAATTGTTTATTTCTATGTTTTCGTTTTTTTTCTTTTGATTTGATTTATTGTCTTGTCATTATTTTGATTTATTTTACGTGTTTTATGGTATCACATATTTTACTGTACAAATGGCTTTTCAATTATATTGTTTGTTTTATATTATGCACTTTTCCCGACTATATATATATTTTTTTCTCTAAGTTATTCAAAGCTTTCTTCTGTTTATTTTTTTTTTCGTTTTTTTTTTATCAATTATTCAGGGACTAAAATGATCTATTTTCTGTTAATGGCATTTTTTTCTATCTCTTTTTTCTCTCTCTCTCTTTCTTTTTTTCTTTTTTTTTGTTATCATTTAATTTTTCTTGATTTCGTTTTGTCTTTGGCTGGAATTATTTTAGGAATATTTTTTCTTTTTCTCTATACATTTTGATAATGATGATGATGATAGAAATAATAATAATAATAATAATAATAATAATAATAATAATAGTATTAATAATGATAATAATAATAACAATAATAATAATAATAATTATAATAATAACAATTGTAACTGTTATGAAAATAATAAGGATAATGTTGATAATAGTGATAATAGTAATAATAATAATAATAATAATAATAATAATAATAATAATAATTATAATAACAAAAACAACAATATTAATAATAATGCTAATAATAATAATGATAATGATAACAATAATAATGATGATAATAGTGATAATAACAATGATAATGATAATAATAATAATAATAATAATAATGATAATAATAATTATAATAATGATAATGATACAGTAGTTATCATTATTATTATCATTATCATCATGTTCTTTCCCTTCTTCTTTCATTCTTCATACTTTTTCTTTTCCTTTTGTTTAATTTATCTTTTTTTAGGTCACTGGCTACGTTTAACTTTCCTAAATAAACCCGAAAATGACTTCTGGCAGGTTTCCGATAATCGTTAATGATGTTATATAATCCACAGGTGCATGTCGATCGATCAGGAATTCTTGATTGGATAATAACCATCTATCTTTAATATTGCAAAAGACTCCTTGCAAGATATGGCCCCCGTCAATTGCACGTTGCAGAAATTAGCTCCTTATTTTCTGCTTTGCATGATTTTTATATATATTATTTTTCCTGTTTTTTTTTTTTCTTTCTCGTTTGTCAATAGCAACTACTAATCACAGTGGGAGTGACTGGTTTATGGATATTTGGTTCAATAAATTCACGTATTTTTTTAGGGGAGGGGGGGGGGGGTTGAGAATGCTTTTAGGACAGAAGCGAAGGAGGTGAGAGGCCTGTCTGTCTGTCTCTCTCCCTCTGGTTCATCTGTCTCCTGCCCTCTCTCTTTCTCTCTCTCTGTTTTTCATTCTCTTTCTGTTTTTCATTATGTCTCTGCTCTCTCTCTCTCTCTCTCTCTCTCTTTCATTCTCTTTCTGTTTTTCATTATGTCTCTGCTCTCTCTCTCTCTCTCTCTCTCTCTCAGTTTTTCATTTTCTTTCTGTTTTTCATTATGTGTCTGTTCTCTCTCTCTAAATACTTCTTTCTCTTCTCATACTCTCTCTCTCTCTCTGTTCTTCATGCTTTCTGTTTTTCATTATATCTCTGCTCTCTCTCTCTCTAAATATTTATTTCTCTTCTCTCTCTCTCTCTCTCTTTTTCTCTTTGTCTCTCTCTCTCCCTCTCTTTCACCCAGGTTTTCTCTATCTACCTATCTATCTATCTATCTTACTCCCCCCCTGTTGCCTGTACACGAATGACTTACACCAATATTTGTTTTTGGTCGGAGTCCCGCCCTTCTCGGGACTTGCAGAGGCCTCATAACTTGGAGTGGGTGCATCGGAACCGCCCGCTAATGGCGTGTATGTGTGTACAGTATACAGCACTCACGTAAGCACACACACACACACACCCACACCCACACACACAAAAACACACACACACACACACACACATACACACACACACACATATATATAGTATATATATATATATATATATATATATATATATATATATATATATATATATATATAAACGATTTGGTTCGGTTTGCTTCGTCTTGCCGAATTCGTCAGAATGCTGGAGTAGAACAAACATTTACATCGTTATAGACTCTATAAAGATAATTGGTTTTAGTAATAGGTTAAAACTAATACTGCTGTAAAACTTACTCCTAAATGACAATCGCACTACACATATTATGTATTTAACTAGAAATTGTAGTTTCGAATTGAAATTTTGCTGTTAATATGTAGAAAGCGCAGAGGCGTCGTGGGGGGGGGGAGGGCTGGGGGGGAGGGCAGTTCATCCCCCTAGACTCTGTTTGTTCCCCTCAAGGTCTTGCTTACCCCCCCCCCCCAAGACCACACCCTCAAGATATTCCCCCCCCCTAAATTACACCTTTACAGATCTGGTCGTAACTTAAAATTGCACACAGAATAGTTCCTTTTTTTCTCAAAATTTCTCGCCAACCTAGCCAGAAAAAGATGAAATAACGCCCCTGAGAAAAAGGATCAATTAATGGTCGACAGTAAATCAGAATGGACCTCCAAAGTCTATTTGTCATTCCTGTGCAATTATCTTCACTTGTCTTTGATTCGGCAAATTTGTCTACGACTTCCCACGAAAATGTCTTTGATGGGCAGTTTTTGTCTATGACTGTGCCGGAATATCTCACGAGCGTAAGGACTGTCTTTAAAACTACATTATAAATTTACACAAATTGGTAGATAATTCTGTATCGAATATGATAAAAAAAAAAAAACCTTTGGTAGTTTCTTATATTTTACAGGTATTTCTTATTCACATCCGTAAGAACTGTCTTTAATTTGTTCTTATGCATTTTTTTTCTTTGTTGAAGATTATTCTGCTTTGGGAAATAATAAGAAAAGCTTCGAGGCCTTTTTTGAAAAATATTAAGCGTTAATTGAGCGGTCACCTACATATTTATTAATACATTTTATTTAAAAATACAAATAGTGGCGCCCGTTGTAACAGTAGTGTAGCTACATCACATTTAGATGCACCGATTGTGTAACATTACCGTTATGATGTAAGCAAGATTTATTACCATATTTATCTTATCATTTTATTACAGTAGATTATCAAAATTGGGTTTATAAAGATATAAATACTTCTTCTATTCCTAGCATCAATTTCGAGATGTGGCAACAGGGCAAATCATAGACAGAATCGCAAAACAGTCACAGACCTTTCGTGAATACCGCCACGTAAACAAACTGCTATGTGATGACTTGTTCTCTTCGTAGTGAAAGGAATAATCGTGGAAGGAAACAGATAGTAATGGCAGTAAATTAAAACGTCTTGGTTTTGTGTTAACTGAAGAAGATAGAGGATATGAGAATTTCGGAAAATAATTTCACTATCATGTAACACAAAAAACTCGTACTTACATTTTAGGGCAAGAGTTTAAAAGGATAATATCTACTCTTAATAGCAAAACGAAGTCTTTCACACAGCGAATTTAGACAGAAAATAACAAAAGCAAATAAAAAAGCTCTTCGAACGTCCCCAGGATGTCAATAATAGAGTGATTATAAGTAACTAGTATTTATCTTCTAGAAAATAATAGAGCTATCAATCTACTCCAGTTAATAGTTCCGGTCGGCGTAGGTGTGGCCACAGCTTGGTAGTTAATGATGGCATTTATTGGTGACAGACTAAGTCGACTAATAAGAGAAATTCATCGAAATCACTCAGTTCTGTCGGTCATTAATATTGTGGCGTTATGAAAGGGTAGTTAGGTTACTCTGTAGGCAGTTTGAAAATGCGTGGTTTGGCTACGAAACCCAACCAAGATATTAAATCCAAGTTTCAAGATTAAAAAAATATATATCTCGAAATTTCTAGATGTAAATTATACGCACACACCCAACACGCACACACACATACACCCATACACACAATCCACCCCCATCCACCCACCTACACCCACACCCACACCCCTTTCCCTCCTCCCCTCCCCACACCCCACCAACACCCCCTCCCCTCCCCCAAACCAACACCTCCCTACCCTCCCCTAAAACACCCCCTCCTACCTCCCACCCCTAACCCCAACCAAACCACCTCCCACTGAAGGACCCCAAACCAACCACACAAGAAACACTCCCCCTCCCTCCCCTCCCTCCCACCCCTACAGCATCCCACAGCGCCCCACATAACAGATCGGCCAAAGTCAGGATGCAGCGTGGGAATCCATCTCAGACCGGAATTATGTGTCTCCTAGATTGCCTCCAAATCACCTGCTTGTGGCTCCCTCGGGACTGAAGCCTCCCCCCCCCCTCCCCCCTGCCGTTTGGCGACGAGGCAGAGCGGCCCGACGGAGGCGATGAAGGTGTGACTAGTGGCGAGACGGATGGAGGGGAGGCGGGGGTTTTATTCTTTTCTTTTCTTTTTGATTTGCTTGTTTTTTCTTGATTTTCTTGTGTTCTTGTTTATTTTTTGTTGATTCTTTACTTGGTTTTCTTGTTTTTTTTATTTCCTTGTTTTCTTGATTTTATTGATTTTCTTGCTTCTAGATGTTCTTAATTTTCTTGTTTTCTTGATTTTCTTGTATTCTTGTTTTTCCTGTTTTCTTGATTGTCTTTTTTTGATTTTCCTGTTTTCTTGATTTTCTTATTTTCTTTGAGATTTTTTGAGAGGAAGTGGGGGGGGGGAGGGTGATAGAGGGAATTTCTTTTACTCATCCATTTCTTTCTTGACTAATTTCGATTCTCTTCATTTATTATTGCTTCTATCTTACTTTTTTATTTTCTTTCTTTTATAGGGGAGGGGGTGGTAGGGGTAGGAGGAAAAGAAGGACGGGGAATGTCTTTTCCTTTTTTTTGTTGATTTTGTTTTATTTCTTTCTAGCTTTATCTTTTTTTTTTGGATGGGGGGGGGGGGGGGGGTAGAAGAGAGGGGGGGAGGGTAGTGAATTTTTTTTTATGAGGTAAGGGTTAAGAGTTTTAAGGATGGGTGGTCTTTGGAAGGAAGGGGGCGTGGTCAGTGAAGAGAAGACTATGTTGGTAAGACAGGGAAGGGAAGGGGGCGTGGTCAGTGGAAGGAAGGGGGCGTGGTCAGTAAGGGGAAGACTATGTGGGTAATGGAGTTAAGGGGGCGTGGCAAATGGAAGGAAGGGGGGCGTGGGCAATGGAGTAAAAGGGGGCGTGGCCAACGGAAGGAGGGGGACATGGCCAGAGAAAAGAAAAGAGGCGTGGTCAGAGAAAGAAAAGGTGATTTTGAGGACTTTTTGAGGGATTGGGAGGGACGGAGAGGGAGGGAAAAGAGGGAGGGAAAAGAGGGAGGGAAAAGAAGGAGGGAAAAGAGGGACGGAAGGAAAAGAGGGAGGGAAAAGAGGGAGGAAAAAGAGGGAGGGAAAAGAGGGAGGGAAAAGAGGGAGGGAAGGAAAAGAGGGAGGGAAAAGAGGGAGGAAAAAGAGGGAGGGAAAAGAGGGAGGGAAGGAAAAGAGGGAGGGAAAAGAGGGAGGAAAAAGAGGGAGGAAAAGAGGGAGGGAAAAGAGGGAGGGAAGGAAAAGAGGGAGGGAAAAGAGGGAGGAAAAAGAGGGAGGGAAAAGAGGGAGGGAAAAGAGGGAGGGAAAAGAGAGAGGGAAGGAAAAGAGGGAGGGAAAAGAGGGAGGGAAAAGAGGGAGGGAAAAGAGAGAGGGAAAGGAAGGAGGGAAAGGAGGGAAGGAAAAGAAGGAGGGAAAAAAGGGAGGGACGGAGAGGGAGGGAAAAGAGGGAAGGAAAAGAGGGAGGGAAAAGAGGGAAGGAAAAGAAGGAGGGAAAAAAGGGAGGAAAAGAGGGAGGGAAGGAAAAGAGGGGGGGAAAAGAAGGAGGGAAAAGAGGGAGGAAAAGAGGGAGGGAAGGAAAAGAGGGAGGGAAAAGAGGGAAGGAAAAGAGAGAGGGAAAGGAAGGAGGGAAAGGAGGGAAGGAAAAGGAGGAGGGAAAAAAGGGAGGGAGGGAAAAGAGGGAGGAAAAGACGGAGGGAAAAGAGGGAGGGAAAAGAAGGAGAGACGGAGAGGGAGGGAAAAGAGGGAGGGATTGGGGGGCGGAGTCACTACATCCGGGAAGTCGAATCAGGGAGGCTGAGTTGCCATGTCGGAAACTGCGGAAATGACGACGAGAGACACGGGGATAAAAAAAAAAAGAAAGAAAGAAAGAAAGAAAAAAAAAAACAGTCAACAGGATTTTTTTTTTTTTTTTTTTTTTTTTTGATAAATCTCGATATTATATGTTTGCTTGTTTGATTACGCGCGGGAAATCGGGAGCAATTCGGGGCCGCCGGAAACTGTCGCTCTTTCTCGTTTATTTTATTTTCTTCTCTGTTTGTCTGTCTTGTCTTGTTCTCTCTGTTTGTTTGTTTGTCTGTCTGTCTCTCTTCTCTTTGTCTCTCTATCTATTTATCTCTCTCTTGTTGTCTCTTTCTCTTTCTCGTTCTCTCTTTCTTTCACTCCCTCTCTTCTCTCTCTCTCTCTCTCGTTCTCTCTCTTATTCATCCCCGTTTTTGCTTTCATATTTTTTCTTTTCTTTTCTTGATGTATTTTTCTATTCTTTTCTTTCTCGTGTTCTTCTTCTTTTTTTCTTTTCTTTTCCCTTGTTTTCTTTTTTTCTTTTCTTTTCCTTTGTTTTCTTTTTTTTCCAATCTCTTTCCCTATCTCCTGTTCTTCTTTTTTCTTTTCTTGGAAGGAATATTTCATTTTTTTTTTATCTCTTTATCTTGTTTTTCGTCTTTTCGTTTTCATTTTTTTTTTGCTTTCTCTATCTTTATTTCTATAAATAATTATTTTCCTTTTTCTTGAATTTTCTTTTTTTTTCTTTTTCCTGTTCTTTTTCTTTTGATTTAAAAATACATTGATGATACAGATAGATTTTAATTTAGCGTAGAAAAGGAGACAGAAAAGAAAAGGAATTGGAAATATTTTGTTAATTGATGTCTCTAACTATCTAGCTTTGGTAATGTGATTATAGTTTAAGTTTCTCTAAGTTTCTCTCTCTTGTCTCTGTGTTCCATTGTTTCTCTCTCTCTCTCTCTCTCTCTCTCTCTCTCTCTCTCTCTCTTTCTCTCGCTCTCGCTCATTCTCTCTCTCTCTCTTTCCCTTTCTTTCTCTCTCTCCTTCTCTCTCACTCTCTCTCTCTCTCTCTCCCTCTCTCTCTCTCTCGCTCTCTCTCTCTCTCTTTCCCTCTCTTTCTCTCTCTCCTTCTCTCTCTCCCTCTCTCTCTCTCTCTTTCTCCCTCTTTTTCTCTCTCTCTCTCTCTCTTTCCCTTTCTTTCTCTCTCTCTCCTTCTCTCTCTCTCTCTCTGTCTGTCTATCTATCTATTTTTCGTCTCTATGTATGTATGCATGTATGTACGTATGTATGTACATATGTGTCTAACTGTCTCTTTCTCCTCTCTCCATCTCTCTTTCCTGTCTCTCTCCCTCCCTCTCTATTTTTTTCTTTT